CATCACATCCCATGCCATCACATCCCATGCCATCACATCCATGCCATCGCATCCCATTCCATCACATCCCATTCCATCACATCCCATGCCATCACATGGCATTCCATCACATCCCATGCCATCACATCCCATGCCATCACATCCCATGCCATCACATCCCATGCCATCACATCCCATGCCATCACATCCCATGCCATCACATCCCATGCCATCACATCCCATGCCATCACATCCCATGCCATCACATCCCATGCCATCACATCCCATGCCATCACATCCCATGCCATCACATCCCATGCCATCACATCCCATGCCATCACATCCCATGCCATCACATCCCATGCCATCACATCCCATGCCATCACATCCCATGCCATCACATCCCATGCCATCACATCCCATGCCATCACATCCCATGCCATCACATCCCATGCCATCACATCCCATGCCATCACATCCCATGCCATCACATCCCATGCCATCACATCCCATGCCATCACATGGCATTCATCCCATGCCATCACATCCCATGCCATCACATCCCATGCCATCACATCCCATGCCATCACATCCCATGCCATCACATCCCATGCCATCACATCCCATGCCATCACATCCCATGCCATCACATCCCATGCCATCACATCCCATGCCATCACATCCCATGCCATCACATCCCATGCCATCACATCCCATGCCATCACATCCCATGCCATCACATCCCATGCCATCACATCCCATGCCATCACATCCCATGCCATCACATCCCATGCCATCACATCCCATGCCATCACATCCCATGCCATCACATCCCATGCCATCACATCCCATGCCATCACATCCCATGCCATCACATCCCATGCCATCACATCCCATGCCATCACACCCCATGCCATCACATCCCATGCCATCACATCCCATGCCATCACATCCCATGCCATCACATCCCATGCCATCACATCCCATGCCATCACATGGCATTCCATCACATCCCATCACATCACATCCCATGCCATCACATCCCATGCCATCACATGGCATTCCATCACATGGCATTCCATCACATCCCATGCCATCACATCCCATGCCATCACATCCCATGCCATCACATCCCATGCCATCACATCCCATGCCATCACATCCCATGCCATCACATCCCATGCCATCACATCCCATGCCATCACATCCCATGCCATCACATCCCATGCCATCACATCCCATGCCATCACATCCCATGCCATCACATCCCATGCCATCACATGGCATTCCATCACATCCCATGCCATCACATCCCATGCCATCACATCCCATGCATCACATCCCATGCCATCACATCCCATGCCATCACATCCCATGCCATCACATCCCATGCCATCACATCCCATGCCATCACATCCCATGCCATCACATCCCATGCCATCACATCCCATGCCATCACATCCCATGCCATCACATCCCATGCCATCACATCCCATGCCATCACATCCCATGCCATCGCATCCCATTCCATCACATCCCATGCCATCACATCCCATGCCATCACATGGCATTCCATCACATCCCATGCCATCACATCCCATGCCATCACATCCCATGCCATCACATCCCATGCCATCACATCCCATGCCATCACATCCCATGCCATCACATCCCATGCCATCACATCCATGCCATCACATCCCATGCCATCACATCCCATGCCATCACATCCCATGCCATCACATCCCATGCCATCACATCCCATGCCATCACATCCCATGCCATCACATCCCATGCCATCACATCCCATGCCATCACATCCCATGCCATCACATCCCATTCCATCACATCCCATGCCATCACATCCCATGCCATCACATCCCATGCCATCACATCCCAATGCCATCACATTCCCATGCCATCACATCCCATGCCATCACATCCCATGCCATCACATCCCATGCCATCACATCCCATGCCATCACATCCCATGCCATCACATCCCATGCCATCACATCCCATGCCATCACAATCCCATGCCATCACATCCCATGCCAATCACATCCCATGCCATCACATCCATGCCATCACATCCCATGCCATCACATCCCATGCCATCACATCCCATGCATCACATCCCATGCCATCACATCCATGCCATCACATCCCATGCCATCACATCCCATGCCATCACATCCCATGCCATCACATCCCATGCCATCACATCCCATGCCATCACATCCCATGCCATCACATCCCATGCCATCACATCCCATGCCATCACATCCCATGCCATCACATCCCATGCCATCACATCCCATGCCATCACATCCCATGCCATCACATCCCATGCATCACATCCATGCCTCACATCCCATGCCATCACATCCCATGCCATCACATCCCATGCCATCACATCCCATGCCATCACATCCCATGCATCACATCCCATGCCATCACATCCCATGCCATCACATCCCATGCCATCACATCCCATGCCATCACATCCCATGCCATCACATCCCATGCCATCACATCCCATGCCATCACATCCCATGCCATCACATCCCATGCCATCACATCCCATGCCATCACATCCCATGCCATCACATCCCATGCCATCACATCCCATGCCATCACATCCCATGCCATCACATCCCATGCCATCACATCCCATGCCATCACATCCCATGCCATCACATCCCATGCCATCACATCCCATGCCATCACATCCCATGCCATCACATCCCATGCCATCACATCCCATGCCATCACATCCCATGCCATCACATCCCATGCATCACATCCCATGCCATCACATCCCATGCCATCACATCCCATGCCATCACATTCCATGCCATCACATCCCATGCATCACATCCCATGCCATCACATCCCATGCCATCACATCCCATGCCATCACATCCCATGCCATCACATCCCATGCACTCACATCCCATGCCATCACATCCCATGCCATCACATCCCATGCCATCACATCCCATGCCATCACATCCCATGCCATCACATCCCATGCCATCACATCCCATGCCATCACATCCCATGCCATCACATCCCATTCCATCACATCCCATGCCATCACATCCCATGCCATCACATCCCATGCCATGCCATCACATCCATGCCATCACCATTCCATCACATCCCATGCCATCACATCCCATGCCATCACATCCCATGCCATCACATCCCATGCCATCACATCCCATGCCATCACATCCCATGCCATCACATCCCATGCCATCACATCCCATGCCATCACATCCCATGCCATCACATCCCATGCCATCACATCCCATGCCATCACATCCCATGCCATCACATCCCATGCCATCACATCCCATGCCATCACATCCCATGCCATCACATCCCATGCCATCACATCCATGCCATCACATCCCATGCCATCACATCCCATCCATCACATCCCATGCCATCACATCCCATGCCATCACATCCCATGCCATCACATCCCATGCCATCACATCCCATGCCATCACATCCCATGCCATCACATCCCATGCCATCACATCCCATGCCATCACATCCCATGCCATCACATCCCATGCCATCACATCCCATGCCATCACATCCCATGCCATCACATCCCATGCCATCACATCCCATGCCATCACATCCCATGCCATCACATCCCATGCCATCACATCCCATGCCATCACATCCCATGCCATCACATCCCATGCCATCACATCCCATGCCATCACATCCCATGCCATCACATCCCATGCCATCACATCCCATGCCATCACATCCCATGCCATCACATCCCATGCCATCACATCCCATGCCATCACATCCCATGCCATCACATCCCATGCCATCACATCCCATGCCATCACATCCCATGCCATCACATCCCATTCCATCACATCCCATGCCATCACATCCCATGCCATCACATCCCATGCCATCACATCCCATGCCATCACATCCCATGCCATCACATCCCATGCCATCACATCCCATGCCATCACATCCCATGCCATCACATCCCATGCCATCACATCCCATGCCATCACATCCCATGCCATCACATCCCATGCCATCACATCCCATGCCATCACATCCCATGCCATCACATCCCATTCCATCACATCCCATGCCATCACATCCCATGCCATCACATCCCATGCCATCACATCCCATGCCATCACATCCCATGCCATCACATCCCATGCTTGCAATCCCTGCACGATGTATCCGTTGCTACCCATCCCTACGTCATTTCCTCCCGGCCTTCTCCCATCCCCATCCCCATTCACATCCCACCACCCCATCAGATTGGCAACGATGCGTCTCAGTTTGTGGGACCGCTGATGCTCAGCCGCCTGCTGTCAGCCATGCAGTCGGACGAGCCTGCATGGCACGGCTACATCTATGCCACCATCATCTTCCTGGGACTGGTATGGTGGTGCACCCTCCCTGGCGTGGTTGTGGGGTTATGCCCATAGACACACAGTGATAGAGTATTAGGGGTTTAGGGGTCTGCCACGCAGTGGGAAGAGCCTGCATGGCACGGCTACATCTATGCCACCATCATCTTCCTGGGGCTGGTATGTTGCGCCCACACCCGCCTGTGTGACCCGGTTTGCTTGTTTGTCCCATGCATGGAGGGTTAGGGGACAGAGGTCAGGTCAGCCCCTTGCAGTGGGACGAGCCTGCCTGGCTCGGCTACATCTATGCCACCATCATCTTCCTGGGGCTGGTATGATGAGCCCTAGGCACAACCTTGTATCCCTGGTGTGCTGTGTGCCTTTATGCACTGACGCACACCATGCATGGAGTATTAGGGGTCAAGGGTCAGCCATGCAGTTGGGCGAGTGTGCACAGCACGGCTCCATCTATTCCACCATCATCAACACCACCATCATCGTCCTGGGACTGGTATGTTGGTGCACCCTGGTGTGTGAGTGTGTTCTTACGAGCCATGGCACACCCTGGGCGAGGTGATCTGTGAGGCGCATTACTTCCAGAGCGACATGCGCTTGAGAGGCTTCTATGACCACTCCACCCCCATTAATACCCTAGCACCGCACATCACCCCCGTTACCCCTGTATCACCGCACACCACCCCTCTCCTGCACCTCCTGGGCACCAGGTGGGCGGGGTCATCTGTGAGACGCAGTACTTCCAGAGTGCCATGCATTCGCACTTAAGAGGCTTCTGTGATCACACCACCCATGTTAACCCCTTAGCACCGCACGTCACCCCTCCCTACACCAGGTGGGCGGGGTCATCTGTGAGGCGCAGTACTTCCAGAATGTCATGCGCGTGGGCTTCCAGCTGCGACAGGCCATGGTAGGCATGGGGGGGGGCGTTAGCCATGGTGTGCTTCTCAGTTGACTGCGACAGGCCATGGTACGTACGTCATGAACGAGAGGCATACAGAGCGAGAAGAGTTTCTGTGCATGCTTCCAGAATGTCATGCGCGTCGGCTTCCAGCTGCGACAGGCCATGGTACGTTGGAAGTGTGCTGTGCGGTGCAGTGCGGTGCTCTGTGGTGCACTGCGGTGTGGGGTGTCATTATGCTGGTTGGCAGGCCATGGGTGGTTGGTTGGCAGCGTGCTGTACTGTGCACTAGGGCGGGTTGCACTGGGGGGGGGGGGTGTTACTGTGGGGTGCACTGTGGGGGGGGTGTACTGTGGGGGGGGGGTGTACTGTGGGGGGGGTGTACTGTGGGGGGGGTGTACATTGGGGTGCACTGTGGTTGGGATGCACTGTGGGGGGAGGTGCACTGTGGGGAGTTGCACCCTTATTTTCCTTGCCTTTTATCCCATCCCGACATTCCCTCCCATCCACGTCCAATATCCGCCACTATCACTTCACAATCATTCTGCTAATCGAGAAATTATGCACGGATGGGCGTCCAATATCCCATCCCGACATTCCCTCCCATCCCGGTTAATCGTGCATATCCGCCACTATCACTTCAAAATCAGTCGGCTGTAGGAGAATCCGGCTATACGAGAAAAGTATGCACGGACGAGAACGATGGGGTGAGCAGAGTTCAACGAGTTTTTCATCCCCATGGTCTCCCCATCCCGACCTCCTCTTCCTCGAGAAGTTGTCTCAAATCTAGTCCACCCACCGATATACTCCTCCTATCCCGCCATCCTGTCATGCCGTCCCATGCGCAGGTGGCAGCGGTGTTCAGCAAGCCCCTGCGGTTTGGTCACTTTTTTCTAGGCGCCTCAAAAGTCCTTCTTGGAACTCGCGTTTGGCCATGCTGTCCTATGCACAGGTGGCAGCGGTGTTCAGCAAGTCCCTGTGGCTGTGCTAAGCAGTGTCCCCTTTTCTCCGCCATCCTCTTTTCTGTGCCGTGACCCGCCCATGTGCAGGTAGCAGCAGTGTTCAGCAAGTCACTCCGGCTGAGTCACAGTGGGCGGCAGGGCTTCAGCACGGGGCGCATCACCAACATGATGACCAACGACGCTGAGTCGCTGCAAATGGTATGGTGCAATGAGATGCGAGTGCGGTGTGGTGTGGTGCGGTGTGGGGTGGGGTGGGGTGGTGTGGTGCGGTGTGGTGCTCGCAGTTTTTGTGACACGTTTTAGTTTGTGGCGCTAGCAGCAGTACAATGAACCGATAATTTTTGCTCTACCTTGTCTATCAAAAGTGCATAAAAACTGTTGAATTGCTCTCTCACTTCTCTATAATCACCCTCTCCCTTTCTCACGCTGCTCTCTGCCCTCTCCCAGGTGTGTCAGCAGTTGCACGGCCTCTGGTCGGCGCCTCTCCGCATCCTCGTCTGCATCTTCCTGCTCTACCAACAGCTGGGGGTGGCATCTGTGCTCGGCCTGCTAATGCTGCTCCTCATGATCCTCGCCCAGGTGAGTGAAACCTGGCGGTTGTGACTGATGGTTCGCTTTTTGACACGTCTCACGATCCCCGCCAAGGTGAGTGAGACCTGGTTTGCTTCCTTTTAATGGTATGGTACAGTGTGTAAGAGATTGAACTTGAAGTGGCGCATTAGTAATGAGCTCAAGGCTCTTACGTACATTCGAAATGATCAAGGAATGGATGGGGGGGAATCGGAGGCAATCAGTGCAGGTCTTCTGACATTCTTCTCTTCCTTTCATTCTCCGTGGCTCTCCTCATGCCTCTAACCTCCTCTTTCTTCTCCTACTTTCCCTCCTCCCTCCTCCCAACCCTCTTCTCTCCCTGCCTCCCTCCCTCTCCCCCCTCACCCTCTCTCCCCACCACCAGGCAATGATAGTGAATTGGGTGCAGAAGCTGGTGAAAGCATCACTGCAGCGCAGCGACAAGCGAGTGGCGCTCATGAGCGAGGTGCTGCCAGCCATGGACGTCGTCAAGTCGTACACGTCTCATCTTTCCCCGCCTCATCTCTCTCCTTCTCTTTCCTCCCCTCCCATCCTCTCTCCTCTCCCGTCCTCCCTCTTCTCCCCTCCTCTCTCCCTTACCCTCCTCACACTTTGCCCCTCTTCCCCCGCAAACATCAGGCGGTGATAGTGAACAGGGTGCAGAAGCTGGTGAAGGCATCACTGCAGCGCAGCGACAAGCGAGTGGCGCTCATGAGCGAGATGCTGGCAGCCATGGATGTGGTCAAGTTGTACACGTGGGAGGGGAGCTTTCAGAGCAAGGTGGCACGCATTCGAGCGGACGAGATGGGGCGCAATACATCATGGCGGTGGGTTGTGTGCGGTGTGATAGAGGGTGAGATGGGACAGATGGCGCAATACATCATGGCGGTAGGTTGTGTGTGGTATGACAAGGTGGAGTGGACGAGATGGGGTAGGTTGTGTGCGGTATGAAGGCGCACTTCACCATAACAGTAGGTCCTGTGCTGCAGCGCATGCATTGTGGTTAGTGTGTTGTGCAACAAATACGTCTCAGTGGGTAGTTTCTCACCTTTGGTCTTAGAGGTCATGGGTTCAATTCTTCGCAGCTGCATTTTCCATTCTCATTATGCTCACCATGACATGTCCACACTCCACCACACTCACTCACAATGTAGCTAAGTGTGGTGGAGTGTGGACATATCATGGTGACCATAATGCAAATGGAAAGTGCAACTGCTGAGAGTTGAACCTACGACCTCTAAGATCAAATGTGAGAAACTACCCACTTGGACATACTTGCTTGTGTTGGAAACGGTGGTGCTGGTGACACTGGTGTCACTGATTTGTGAGTGGAAACTCTACCTTCCCCCTCGTTCCTCTCCCTCCACCCCTCACCAGATCAACTTCCTGCTGATGAGTGTGTTGCCAGTGCTGGTGACGGTGGTGTCGTTCGGCTGCTACTCGCTGTTAGGCCACCAGCTCACAGCCGCCAAGGCCTTCACCTCCATCTCCCTCTTCGCTGTGCTGCACTACCCCCTCCACATGTTCCCCAGCCTCATCACCCAAGTGAGTGCTCAGCTCATTGCTATGCGAGTCTCTGGTTCCGCCCCCCCCCCCCTCCACATGTTCCCCAGCCTCATCACCCAAGTGAGTACTTAGCTCATTGGTATGCGAGTCTCTGGTTCTCTCCCCCCCCTTCCACATGTTCTCCAGCCTCATCACCCAATTGAGTGCTCAGCTCATTGCTATGTGAGTCTCTGGTCTTCCCCCCCCTCTACATGTTCCCCAGCCTCATCACCCAGGTCAGTGTTCCACCTCTTACTAGTGCAAACTTCTGTGTCTGGGTACTGTCTTGTCTGGTCCCCAACCTCATCACCCCTCCAGAGGTATGTGGAGAAATTTGCACGGGACGCTAACGTAAAAAATGCAGGACGCGTTTTTCTCCACATTACCCAGAGTAGTGTGTAGTGTCTTATTAGTACATGTGTTCTTCTTATTGGGTACCCTTGTCTTGTCCCCGATCTTGTTTGAGGAGATGCGCCCTCTCTCACTCGCCTGCAATTTTTTAGGCTTCTCAAAAACCACGTGAACTAGGATGATTTTTTAGGTGCCTCGAAGGTCTTGTTTGAGGAGATGTGCCCTCTCTAGCTCGCCTGCAGGAGATGCTGTTGGGACATGAGACGGCGCCCCTTCCCCCTATTGTTCATCTCTCCACTTCCCATTTTTTTCCCTGCAACAATATCTGCAACACTCTCCAACACACCAGGAGGTGAACGTGAATGTGTCTCCCATTCTACCCTTCTGTTACACCCCACCACCAGGTGGTGAACGTGAAAGTATCTCTCACGCGCCTGCAGGAGATGCTACTGGCACATTAGACGGACACCAGCGTCCCTGTTCCCTCCTCTTATCCTCCTCGGCATCCCCCAACCCAACCCAACCCCCCCACCTCCCCCACCACCCATCTACCCTTCTGTTACACACCCTTCCACCCACCAGGTGGTGAACGTGAACGTGTCTCTCACGCGCCTGCAGGAGATGCTACTGGCAGACGAAACGGACATTGACGCCCCTGCGCCGCCCATCGACCCCGCCAAGCCGGCAGTCGAGGTCTCCCATGCCTCCTTCGCCTGGAGCGCTGCTCCCTCTGCTAACGGTGCTCCCACTGCTGCCGCTAACAGGGCTCCCACTGCTGCTGCTGCCAACGGTGCTGCTGGGGGAGGGGCAGGAGGAGGAGGAGAAGGCAAGGAGAAGGGTGGAGTGGGGGGGGAGGGGAAGGAGAAGGACGTGGGGGGCACTCTAACGGATGTGACTCTATCGGTGGAGCCTGGGAAGCTGGTGGCCATTGTGGGCGCTACAGGTATGGCATGCAGGTTGACCCGGGCGGGTCAGGGCGAGTCAGGGCGGGTCAGGGCGGGTGAGGGCGGGTGAGGATCGTCTGAGCAGCTTACGGGACGCTATGGTGTGAGGGGACTGGAAGGCCATCCTTGCTCTCGCCGCTTGCGTCCCTCCCCCATTCCACCCCGTCCCGGCCCATGGCAGGGCAAGGCAAGTCGTCGCTGGTCAGTGCGCTGCTGGGCGAGATGCCCATGGTGTCATGTCAGGGGACTCAAAGGCCTTACCCCCGCCTCCTTTCCCCACCCCCCCTAACCCATGGCAGGGCAAGGCAAGTCGTCGCTGGTCAGTGCGCTGTTGGGCGAGATGCCCATGGTGGCAGGGGACTCTCCTCCAATCATCAGAGGCCTCGTGGCCTATGTCTCGCAGGTTTGTTCTGTACCCTTTTAAGATAGTTATCTCGCATCCGTGCTGCCACAATCTGGCTCTTTTTTGTTTTTGTTTTTGTTTGTTTTTGTTTGTTTTTTTTTTCATAAACTCATCCGTACAGTGCTGTTTATCACATATATTTTTTCAAGTGCATATTTACTCACTGGACTGTTTTATCTGCCCATTCCTCGAGCCATCTCATGTTTTCGATGTTCTATCTGCCCTCCTCATGTCGCTCTCCTCCAATGACATGCTGCCACGTGGCATGTGGCGCACAGGTCTCCTGGATTTTCAACGCTACACTGCGCGACAACATTTTGTTCGGGCTGCCCTATGACAAGCAGCGGTACGAGCGGGCAGTCCAAGTCAGCGCCCTGGAGAGAGACCTGGAGCTGCTGCCAGGTGCGTGTGTGTGCCAGGCCTTGTTGAAGAGAAGAAAAGACGTGTGTGTGCGAGCGCGCGCGTGTGTTTGTGTGTGTCAATGTCAGTGCCCTGGAGAGAGACCTGGAGCTGCTGCCAGGTGCGTGTTGGTGCCATGTTCAACGCGGCGTTTTGTGCTGAAAAAAAAGCAGAAGTGCAGTTGGGGTCAGAAAGAGACGATTCCTTGGTGCCCTGGAGAGACACCTGGCGCTGCTGCCAGGTGCGTGTGCCAAGCCGTGCCGTGCCGTGCCGTGCCTTGCCGTGCCTTGTTGACAACAAAAGAATGGGAACTTGCCTGTGCCTTCAACAAGGAACGGGCCTGAGAGATGTTTTTGGAATTGCCTCTCTGATCATCTCGGGGGGGTGAAAGCCAGCGCCCTTGAATGAGAGCTGAAGCCGCTGCTGCCAGGTGCGCGTCCCGTGCCTTGTTGAAGCGGGTGCAGAAGGAGCAATGCATTCGCATCAATCAATCAATCAATGCTTGCTTGCTCACTCCTCCACTGCCCTCTGCGCTCCTCTTCCCTGGTTTAGGGTTTTCAATTGTGGGGTTCATAATTTAGGGGTTACGGCGAACGCAAGTGGTTTCGGCACACCTGAATGAACACTATCGCTTCAAGCCGATTTTTGAGGCGCCTCAAAAATAGTTCAGGCGAACGTGAGTGAGTGGGTTTGGCAGCCATGAACTGTACCGCTTCAAGCCCTCTGCTAGTCGGTCCCACTCACCCAACCTTGCTCAAGGAGGGGACCTGACAGGAGATAGGTGAGAGGGGGATGACTGTGAGTGGGTGGCAGAAGCAGCGCATCAGCAAAACTTCGTCACTCCTGCGCCTATCCTCCCCTCTCCTCCCTGCTTTTCTCTCCCAATCCCACCACCCTTCCTCCTCTGGGCCACCAGGGGGGGACCTGATGGAGATAGGAGATTGGGGAGTGAAGGTGAGTGGTTTCACGCCCATGAAAAGTATCGCTTCACTCCCTCTCCTATTCCATCCCACTCACCCCGTCTCGCACATCACCAGGGGGCGACCTGACGGAGATAGGCGAGAGGGGAGTGAACGTGAGTGGCGGGCAGAAGCAGCGCATCAGCATTGCGAGAGCGGTCTATTCTGATGCCGATGTCTTCTTCTTCGATGATCCGCTCTCCGCCCTCGACGCCCACGTCGCCAAGCAGGTGAATTGGTTTTTCTTATTGGACTATCAATCGGCATTGTACTGTCAATTGGCATTGGACTGTCAATTGGTATTGTACTGTCGATTGGTATCGTACTGTCAATTGGTATTGTACTGTCAATTGGCATTGTACTGTCAATTGGTATTGTACTGTCAATTGGTTTTGTACTGTCAATTGGCATTGTACTGTCAATTGGTATTGTACTGTCAATTGGTATTGTACTGTCAATCGGCATTGTACTGTCAATCGGCATTGTACTGTCAATTGGTATTGTACTGTCAATTGGTATTGTACTGTCAATTGGTATTGTACTGTCAATTGGTATTGTACTGTCAATTGGCATTGTACTGTCAATTGGTATTGTACTGTCAATTGGTATTGTACTGTCAATTGGTATTGTACTGTCAATTGGTATTGTACTGTCAATTGGCATTGTACTGTCAATTGGTATTGTACTGTCAATTGGTATTGTACTGTCAATTGGTATTGTACTGTCAATTGGTATTGTACTGTCAATTGGTATTGTACTGTCAATTGGTATTGTACTGTCAATTGGCATTGTACTGTCACAAACCAGCTGCACTTCCTGCCAGGTAACCCTCTCGCTCGTCACCGAATCGTTTCAAAAGCTGAGGAACTCGTACAGTGAAATGTATACGACAGCTGCGTGTTCGATCACTACCGGCTCAAGTCTTGAGAGAAGCTTCAGAACACTTTTCAGCAACTTCTGAGGCGCCTCGTAAGGACTATTCTTTTGAATCAGCTTTTGAGGCACCTCATGAGTCTACCAGCTCAAGTCTTAAGAGAAGCTTCAGAACTCTTTTTAGACGTCTCGAAACGGGAGCAGGGCCCTCAACCACCAGCTCAAGTCCTCTACCTCTCCTCCCCGCTCTCCCTCCCCCGCATTGACTGGTTGGTGGTGGTGGAGAGGGGGTGGATAGCAGAGCAGGAGCTGTCCCTGCATCTCCATCCTCCTCAATCCCTCTTCTTCACTCCCCCCGCCCTCCCACTCCCCTCGTCCCCCCATGAACCCTCGTCCCTCCTTTCAGCGGTGGACTGGGTGGTGATGGTGGAGGGGGGGCGCATAGCAGAGCAGGGGCCGTACGCGCAGCTGAAGGCGTCGGCACCCAAGTTCCAGCGGCTGCTGGAGAAGGCAGGCGCGCTGGAGGAGCACGGGGACGCGGAGGTGGGAGGAGAGGGAGCGGAAAAAGCCGGTGGGAGTGAGACAAGCGCTGAAGCTGCAGCTGCTGCTGCAATGTCTGGCAGCAGCAGCAACAGTGGTGGTGGTGGCAGTGGCGGGGGTTCTGCTGCTGCAGAGAACGGCTTTTCTAGCAGCAGAAACCAGGTTGGGGAGAAGAGCGGAGCAGGGAAGGGGGAGAAGAGCAGAGCAGCAGGAGGAACAACTCTAGTGCAGGTGGAGGATAAGGCGCAGGGGGTGGTGAGCGCGGCGGTGGTGTGGCGGTATGTGAGGGCCATGGGGGGAACTGGCGTGCTGGCGGTGCTCATCTCGCTCTACGTGCTCGTGGAGGCCGCCAGGGTGCTGGCCAGCGTGTGGATCAGCGTGTGGACCGGGTCCGTGTCTCCCGGTGGCCAAGGGTCGCTGTACTTTGTGGCAGTCTACTCGCTCATCTCGCTGGGTGAAGTGCTGCTCACCTTTGCCAACCAATACTTCCTCGTGAGTAACGGGCCATGGGCCGGCTGACACTTCCTTCCTCCTGGTGAGTGAGTGAGGGAGGGCTATGGGCGGGACGGGCGTGCTGGCGGTGCTCATCTCGCTCTACGTGCTCGTGGAGGCCGCCAGGGTGCTGGCCAGCGTGTGGATCAGCGTGTGGACGGGGAGTGTTTCTCAGGAGGAGGGTGGTGGGCATGGGTCGCTGTATTTTGTGGCGGTCTATTCACTCATCTCGCTGGGCCAAGTGCTGCTCACCTTCGCCAACCAGTACTTCCTCGTGAGTTAAGGCCATGGGCGGGCTTTACAGCCTCTTGGTATGTGAGGGGCCACGGGCGGGTGGGGCATCCTGGCAGTATCATCTCGCTGGGCCAAGTGCTGCTCACCTTCGCCAACCAATACTTCCTCGTGAGTAACGGGCCAGGCCATGTAGAGGCTAGTACCTCCTTCTGGTGAGTGAAGGCCACGGTAAAAGCCATGGGGAGGGGAGGGCATCCTGGCAGTATCATCCCGCTGGGCCAAGTCCTGCTCACCTTCGCCAACCAATACTTCCTCGTGAGTGCTTCTAGTTAAGGGCTGGTCGGTGCTTCTCAATCAATTTTCTCAGTGCTGACTGCTTGATTGGCTGGTACATGGAGAAAGTATGTATGACAAAGGAAGAGTCATGAGCTGAGTTTTGATGAGGTGACTTTTGAGTCCACTCAAAAGTCACCTCGTTACTGCTTGATTGGCTGGTACATGGAGAAAGTGTGCATGACAAAGGAAGAGTCATGTGCTGAGTTTTGAGACGTCTCAAAACACGCCTTTTTTCACCTGACTGCTTGATTCGCTGGTACGTGGAGAAAGTATGCATGACAAAGGAAGAGTCATGAGCTGAGTTCTCATGTTAAGGGTTGGAGCGTCTTGCAAAAATGGGTTCTTTCGAGTTTGAAGGTCTAAGATTCTCTTGAATTTCTAGGAAGAGTTTTTACAGTCTTGATCCTTTTTGCTTAAGCGTGTTTTAAAGGTTTGCTGCTACTCCCGATATGAATCTCGATCCTTGGCTGGTACATGGAGAAAGTATGTATATGACAAGGAAGAGTCATGAGCTGAGTTTTCATGTTTGTGGTTGGCAATAAGTTGACAGCCCTTGACTTCATTTTTAACAAGTGCTTACTTCAGCGCCGCTGCATCAGACTTTTTCTTTCTCGTCCCACCTCTTCCTTCTTGCTCCCCTCCTCTCCTCCCGCACCTTGCAGGTGTTTTCCTCCCAGAGAGCGGCTCGGCGCCTGCATGATGCCATGCTGGCGGCCATTCTCCGCGCTCCCATGTCCTTCTTTCACACCAACCCCGTGAGTCATAAGAACAAGCCTTTTTGTGCATTGCCATGCCATACCATGCCATGCCATGCCATGCCATGCCATGCCATGCCATGCCATACCATGCCATGCCATACCATGCCATGCCATACCATGCCATGCCAAGCCATGCCATGCCAAGCCAAGCCATGCCATGCTGGCGGCCATTCTCCGCGCGCCCATGTCCTTCTTGCACACCAACCCCGTGAGTCACAAGTTTTGAGAATTCCTAATAGTAACTCCAATATGGTGCCCACGTCCTTCTTCCACACCAGCCCCACGAGTCATGATCTCCGAGCTCTCATGTCTACATGAAACAAGCACGTGACTGAATATTCTGTTCTCACCGATAGATTCTGTGACACCTTTCACACCAACCCCGTGAGTCATGATCTCCCAGCTCCCATGTCCCATGTCTTCCTGTGTGGATGGACTCGCACCAAACCTGTGATTCATGATTTCTAAATTGCTGTAAAGTGTGAACCGTGGTCCAGCCACGCTAGGCCAGACCTGAAATACCCTGTGAGTACTGAATGAACTCCTGCACACAAGTTTTTCCGACATATATTTCCCGATCGCCCCTTCCCAGCATGCCAAACCTTCACTCCCCCTCTCTTCTGCCCCTCTTCTGGCAATTTTCGCTATGCCGATTGGTCTCCTTGATAAACTGATCCTATAAGAGCAGGTGGGTCACCTCTTGAAAAACTGATCCGCTAAGAGCAGGTGGGTCACCTTTGACAAGAATCTCACACAGGACACGTGGCTCTGCCTGGACTGCGTTTTTGAGGCGCCTCAAAAGAATCTCACACAGGACACGTGGCTCTGCTTGGACTGCGTTTTTGAGGCGCCTCAAAAGAATCTCACACAGGACACGTGGCTCTGCCTGGACTGCGTTTTCCCCTCCCCTCCATCCTCCACCCCTCCTACATGGGTCGCCTGATGAACCGATTCCCCAAGAACACCTCGGACATCAGCATGAACCTCGTGCAGTACACGTCTTCCCCTCCTACATGATTTTGAAAGGCATATCCCACTCCCCTTCCCCTCACTCAACCCCCCTACTTCCCCACTCTCCCCTCCTGCATGGTTCGCCTGATCAACCGATTCCCCAAAAACACCTCGGACATCAGCAAGAGAAACGCGCAGTACACGTCACTGAGTTTGAATAGCATATCCCAATCCTCATCTCCTCAATCCCCCTACTTCCCCTCTCTCCCCTGCAGGTGGGGCGTCTGATCAACCGCTTCACCAAGGACACGGCAGACATAGACAAGAATCTGGCGCAGTACACGTCGCTGTGCCTGAACTGTGTATTTCCCTCCCCTCCACCCTCTACCCTCCACCTCTCTTCTGCAGGTGGGACGTCTGATCAACCGCTTCACCAAGGATACAGCCGACATCGATAAAAACCTCGCGCAGTACACGTCGCTGTGCCTGGGCGGCATCTTCCAGCTGCTCTCCACCTTCGCCCTCATCGGCGTTCTCAACACCGTCGCCCTCTGGGCCATCGTGCCGCTGCTGCTCCTCTTCTACGTCGTCTACCTCTACTTCCAGAGCACTGCCCGGGAGGTGAAGCGCTGGGACTCCGTCACGCGCTCTCCCGTCTACTCCCAGGTGCGATTCGAGGCAGCTCAGATTAATTAAGCAAATGTGTGCGCCATCGTGCCGCTGCTGCTGCTCTTCTATGCGGTCTACCTCCACTTCCAGAACACTGCAAGGGAGATGGAGCGCTAGGACTCTGTCACACGCTTGCCCGTCTGCTCCCAGGTGTGTGTCCACTTTGGCTGTCGAGAGATGCCTTGTCAGTCCTCGCCCTGCGGGCCATCGTGTCGCTGCCCACTGACTTCCTTTCGTCGGCCAGCGTCAAAGTCAGCTTCGTCCATGTTGGCCTCGAGGTGACCCCGCAGAAGTCATCGACCAACTTCGCCTACTTCTTCCTCCAGGTGGACGCCCACCACCAAGTCCAGCCTGCTGCACACCTTGCGGGTCGGTCAGCGACGTCGGCTTCACCCAAGCGAGGGCAGGGCATTGTCCCGTCAACAGCCCCACCCCATCCTCCCTTAAAACCCCGCGTCCTCTCCCTCCTAATTCTGTGGATTCGTGTCCCCGTTTCCCTCTCCAACCCGTTGTTCCCGACTTCGTCGTGCCCTCTTTCAGTTCGCGGAGGCACTGAGCGGGCTGGCAACTATGAGGGCGTACAGGGCAGCAGCATGGCGCAATGCGGGGATGAACGAGCGCCACCAACGCCCCCTTCTCCCCCCTCCCAGTTCTCACACACACAAAACCCATCCCCCTCTCAGTTCGCGGAGGCACTGAACGGGCTGGCGACCATCAGGGCGTACGGGGCAGCGCAGCGCATGGCGGCCATGAACGGGCACCACCCACCACACCACCCCGCACCCATAAGGGCGCACGGGACAGCACAGCGCATGGCGGCCATGAACGGGCACCACCCACCACCCCGCACCCATAAGGGCGCACGGGGCAGCACAGCGCATGGCGGGGATCAATGGGCGCCACCTCATCCCCCCCTTCCTCCCCCCACTCCTCCCCCATCCAACTCTCAGTTTGCGGAGGCACTGAACGGGCTGGCGACCATCAGGGCGTACAGGGCAGCGCAGCGCATGGCGGGGATGAACGGTCATGCCGTGGACCGCAACACGCGCTTCACACTCGTCAGCATGAGCGCCAACCGCTGGCTCGCCATCCGCCTCGAGTTCCTGGGGGGGCTCATGATATTTGGTCAGTGACACTCGTTTCAGGCACGGGACGCTCATAATCCGCGTGATCTGAAGTAATGCTTCACTGGTTTCAAGGTGCGCCTGGTTCAGCTCCATCCAGCATGAGCGCCAACCATTGACTCGCCATCCGCCTCGAGTTCCTGGGCGGGCTCATGATCTTCGGTGCGTGACGTGATGCTCTACAGGGTCCCGTCCCGTGATCGCTGGTTGGTAATGCTTCTTGGGTTCAGCGTGCGCCTTGCTTCACCCTCATCGTCCTCTATCCACCATGAGCGCCAACCGCTGCACCTAACCTCACCGCATTGCACCCCTTCTGTCCCACCTGCAGGTACGGCGGTGTTTGCAGTTACTGGACGTGCTGCAGAGGGCATTACCCCTTCTGGGCAGGCGACCAGGCAGTACCGGTGGTGGCAGTCGTGTCGTGGGGCTCATTCTGTCTTTCCAAATCACACTCCTCCTCCCACCCCGCCCTCGCACCAGCCACGGCCGTATTCGCAGTGATGGACGTGCAGAGGGCGGGCGACCAGGCAGCACTGGCGCCAGTGATGGGTCTCATTCACCACACCGCACGACCCTCCCATAATCTCTTTCCACCGTATTCCACCGCATTGGACCCTTCTCCTTCCCACCCGCAGCCACGGCGGTATTTGCAGTGATGGACGTGCAGAGGGCGGGCGACCAGGCAGCACTGGCGCCAGTCATGGGACTCATTCTGGTGTATGCGCTGCAAATCACAGCCATGATGACCATGGTGCTGCGCCTGCTCTCCCTCGCTGGTAAGCCTTTGCTCCCTGGTGATGGTAAGACGGCCTAGAGTGCTTTTTGCCACCCTTGTTTTTGTTTTTTTTACTTAGAAACCTCTTTCAACGCGGTGGAGCGGGTTGGCAGTCACGCCAACATACCCGCCGAAGCCTCCTCCATCATTCCGAGCCAACAGTCTCCCCCCTCTTCCATCCACCTCCTCCCTTCATTCCAGAAACATCTTTCAATGCGGTGGAGCGGGTGGGCAGTTACGCTGACATCCCCGCCGAGGCGCCGGCCATCATTCCGAGCCACCGCCCGCCGCCCGGGTGGCCGCAGCAGGGGGAGGTGTTATTTGAGGACGTGGTGATGCGGTACAGGCCGGACCTGCTGCCCGTGCTGAGAGGGCTCAGTGCCCTGGTGCAAGGAGGAGAGAAGGTCGGCGTGGTGGGGCGCACTGGCGCAGGTGAGAGGTTTTGTCTGTGCTTATGTGACAGCCCGTCTCGTGCTGAGGGGGCTCAGGGGGCTCAGTGCATTGGTCCGCAGTGGAGAGAAGGTCAGCGTGGTGGGGTGCACTGGCGCAGGTAGGGAAGAGGGAAGAGGGAAGAGGGAAGAGGGAATGTGCCGAGCTGAGAGCCATCACCACACCATGCATGCATGTAGGACCTGCCGCCCGTGCGGAGAGGGCTCGCTCACTGCACTGGTTTAAGTGGGAGGTTTACCTTTGAGGCGCCTCCAATTTTTTAGGTTTACCCTCTTTGTGTGCTTGTCACTGCACTGCAGGCAAGTCGTCGCTGTTCAACTCGCTCTTCCGATTGGCCGAGATTGAGAGCGGGCACATCTGCATCGACGGTCAGGATCTGAAGCTGTTTGGAGTGACGGACGTGCGCCGTGCGCTCATGATCATCCCCCAAACGCCTGTGCTTTTTACTGGTGAGAAGAGCACAGACCATCCAATGTTGTTTGTTTGGTTGCCTAGCTGTGAAGCCTCTGAAGTGACGGACGTGCAGCGTGCACTCATGACCATTCACCAGACCCCTGTACTCTTCACTGGTTAGTCGTGCTGAGATGACTTTGAGTCGACCAAAAGCGTTGGTCATCTCATCGCAGCTCCTTATTTCTGAGAAGGATACATGCACGCACTTCAGTGCTGTTGGGGTAGAGGCGAAGATATTAGGGTCTATGTTTTTTCGCATTTCTTAGTGACTTTAAGCCACGCACTGTTTGAGCCGCCTTTTGCCTCCCTGTTCCTCTCTTATTCAGGCACGCTGCGGTTCAACCTGGATCCGTTCAGCGAGCGCAGTGACGGCGAGGTGTGGGAGGCACTGGGCAGGGCGCACCTGAGGGAGGTGGTATCTCGCATGCCGCTGGGGCTGGACACAGAGGTGAGTAGCAGGGAAAGGGAGGCAGTTGTATTTAGAGAGTGCTAGTACTGAGGTCTTACTTGAGGGAGGTGGTATCTCGAGCATCCTGGTGCTGCCCTTTCCCCCCTTCCCACCCCCATACTCCCCCTTCGTTCTCCTGCCACGCATTCAGGTGGCAGAGGGAGGAAATAATTCCAGTGTGGGGCAGAGGCAGCTGATAAGCCTGGCACGGGCACTGATGATGAAGGGGCTAAGAATGGCAAGAGCTGATCATTCTCGCATTTCACTCCACTCCCCTTGCAGGTAGCAGAGGGGGGGGAGAACTTCAGCGTGGGGCAGAGGCAGCTGATCAGCCTTGCGTGGGCCCTGGTGGTTGGGTTTGGAATGGCTAGGGTTGATAAATCCCTCCTGGCACGGGCGCTGCTCAAGGAGTCTCGCATTCTGGTGCTGCCCTTCCCCCAGTCCGACCTGACCCCCATAATCCTCTGCTTTCTCCTGCCACACATGCAGGTAGCAGAGGGAGGGGAGAACTTCAGCGTGGGGCAGAGGCAGCTGATCAGTCTGGCGCAGGCGCTGCTGAAGGAGTCGGGCACATTCTGGTGTTGCCCTCGCTGCACACCCACTCTCTGATCCCATCTTTCCTCACTGTTATGCAGGTGGCAGAGGGGGGGGAGAACTTCAGCGTGGGTTAGCGGCAGCTGATCAGCCTGGCTAGGGCGCTGCTAACCTTCCCCCACGCCAATGTCACTCTTCTCTCCCTTGCAGGTGGCGGAGGGAGGGGAGAACTTCAGCGTGGGGCAGAGGCAGCTGATCAGTCTTGCCCGGGCGCTGCTCAAGGAGTCGCGCATTCTGGTGCTGGATGAAGCGACGGCAGCCGTTGATGTGGGCACGGATGCGCTGATCCAACGGACGGTGCGCGAAGAGTTCAAGGGGCGCACCATGCTGACCATCGCCCACCGGCTCAACACCATCATGGATAGCGACCGCATCCTGGTCATGGATGCTGGCATGGTGAGTTGATTCGATTGGATTCGATTCTGCATGCCAGCATATCCGTTGCCATGGTGCGCAGCACGGGGCCTCACACCGCCAAGTACCTGCTCTCGTTCCTCTCCTCCCTCCCTCTGCTCTTTTTTCCATTCCACCCTGGCACTTGAGTACGACACGCCAGCCAACCTGGTGTTAAACGAAACCAGCACATTTGCAGCCATGGTGCGCCACACGGGCCCTCAGACCGCCAAATACTCACACTCGTCTCCTCTTCTTCATCCCACCCAGGCCCTTGAGTACGACACGCCAGCCAACATGGTGTTGAACGAGGCCAGTGTGTTTGCAGCAATGGTGTGCAGCACGGGCCCTCAGACTGCCAAGTATCTGCGCAGTGTGGCACTGGGGGAGGTGGCGCTAGCAGACGAGCTTGCCGGCCGGGCGGCGGCGCAGGAGAAGCAGATGGCGCGCGAGGCGGCCAAGTGGCGGTGGGCCACTGCCGCCCAGTGGGCTCTGGCTCTCACACTCACGTCTTCCCAGAGAGACCTGCAGGTGGGTGTTATAAGGGTGCCTGGATGTAGGTGCATGTAACCAAGTGAGTGCCTGCACGTGTGCATGCCTTTTAGTTGCAGAATGGTGCGGTTGAAATCACTTTTGAGATTTCTCTGAAGTGCTGCAAGGGTGCCTGGCTGCAGGTGAGTGTTACCAAGTGAGTGTCTGCACGTGTGAGTCCCTCTCAGTCCCATAGTGGCGGTGGGCCACTGCCGCCTAATGGGCCCAGTGGACTTGCAGGTGTGCGTATGCTACAGCCTACGGAGGTGCTTATATGTAGGAGCGTGCTATAGAGGTGCTGGCCTGCACACTGCTGGTGACTTTTGAGTCGACTCAAAAGTCACCTAGGAGCGTGCTATAGAGGTGCTGGCCTGCACACTGCTGGTGACTTTTGAGTCGACTCAAAAGTCACCTAGGAGCGTGCTATAGAGGTGCTGGCCTGCACACTGCTGGTTACTTTTGAGTCGACTCAAAAGTCACCTAGGAGCGTGCTATAGAGGTGCTGGCCTGCACACTGCTGGTGACTTTTGAGTCGACTCAAAAGTCACCTAGGAGCGTGCTGTAGAGGTGCTGGCCTGCACACTGCTGGTGACTTTTGAGTCGACTCAAAAGTCACCTAGGAGCGCGCTATAGAGGTGCTGGCCTGCACACTGCTGGTGCTGCAGACTTGCAGGTTCGTGAGGCGCCTCAAAACTCGTTTCTGTCATCAACCTAACCCCCCTCCCCTTGTGGGTTGTGTGTGTGTGTGTGCAGTGCAGGCCATGTGCAACGACAGCGAGGGGGAGGACAGAGAAAGTGTGGCGCTTGAATAAGTAGGCGACTCAAAGCTCGTTCTCATGATAACTCTGAACTCCCCCCCCCCCCCCCCCCCCTGGGTTGTGTGTGCGTGTGTGTGTGCAGGCCATGTGCAACAACAGCGAAGGGGAGGAGGGGGAAAGCGATGCACAGCAGCCAATCTTTCAGGTGAGGCTGGTGGCAAGCCATCCACCGCACAAGCCACAATGAGCTCTTTCTCTCGTCCCTTGGCGCTGCTCCCCTGTGTGATGCGACGGATTTTTAGGCGCTTAGGGATATGGTACGTTTGGCCACGTTTCCCCCTCCTGGCTTCCTTGTCTCTCAGCTCTCTTCCATCTGTTTCTATGTTGCCACTGCAGAGAGGCGTGCTAGAAGAGACAAGGGATGCCGCCCAGGTGCTGCAGGCGGTGCTGTCCGGGCAGTGCAGCGAGGAGATCTCGTCAGCGCTGACGAGGCGACAGCTGTCGGAAGACAAGTGGTGGACGGCTGTCAGCCGCGTGGTGCAGGGTGAGTAAGTGTAGGTGTGGGTGTGGGTGTGGGTGCGGGTGTGGGTGTGGGTGCGGGTGTTGGTGTGGGTGTGGGTGCGGGTGTTGGTGTGGGTGTGGGTGTGGGTGTTGGTGTGGGTGTGGGTGTGGTTGTGGTTGTGGGTAGAGTGAGGAATGTGGGAGTGTGGCGAAGCAGGTGCAGGCGAAGCTCGAGGCGGACGGCAGTCTCTGTGACTATGCCAGAGAGCTGCAATCTCCACTCCAAGCCACTGAAACACTCTACCATGTATTTTAGCGTCTCAGATATGTGCATGGTATGCTCCAATCCACTGCACGGTGTGCTGCTTCCATGTCTCTTGTATGCCAGAGCTGGCCCTCATGGCGAAGCAGGTGCAGGTGAAGCTCGCGTGTGATGAGTCGATTTTTTAGTCGACTAAAAAATCGACTCATCACACGCAGGTCCAGGCGAAACTCGAGTTAACTGTCTCTCTTTGCCCTTTCCATCGTGTGCCCTGTCCCCCCCAGGCCTAGCCCTCATGGCGAAGCAAGTGCAGGCGAAGCTCGAGGTGAACTGTCTCTCTTTGCCCTTTCTCATCGTGTGCCCTGTCCCCCCCAGGCCTAGCCCTCATGGCGAAGCAGGTGCAGGCGAAGCTCGAGGTGAACTGTCCCTCTTTGCCCTTTCCATCGTGTGCCCTGTCCCCCCCAGGCCTGGCCCTCATGGCGAAGCAGGTGCAGGCGAAGCTCGAGGCGGACGGCAGTCTGAGAGACTCCGCCAGCTCAGCAGGGGCGGCGGCGGGCGGCAGGTGGGCGCAGCTGGCGGCAACGGGGGAGGAGATGGCGGGCGGCAGAGTGGTGTGACTCTGTGAGGGAGAGTGACTGGTGCACGGTGTGTGCCCGGAGGCCAAGTGGTGTGAGTCCAGCCGAGCCACTGCTGCATGGTCTACGGGGTGTGTGTGTGTGTGGGGGGGGGGGGGGGGGGGGGGGAGGGGGGGGTCCCCCCCTGTGTGGCGTGGTCTGCCTGCTCCACTCCACACAGCCCGGTGGTGGCACATGGGTGTGCCTGCCTGGTAGCTACTGGGGAGGAGACGGCGGGAGCAAGGAAGGTGTTACTGGGAGGAGGGAGGGGTTGCTGCACTGTGCATGGGGGCAGAGTGGTGTGTGTGAGTCGAGTTAGCGGTACCATGAGTGGCGGTGCGTGTCGCGCAGACATCACCTCTTTTTCCGAGATTGGCACGAATTTGGACAATCGGAACACGGGGTTCTTGGGAACCAGCCTCATCTAATACAACAGCTCCTCATCAACTTGTCTACAAATCAGACAAACAAACTACGGTAGTGGTGGGACATTCTTTTCCCAGACTATTTACCTAAGTTTCATCTCATGCAGCGGCTGCAGCATTGAGCAGAGTACTGTTGGCATCCCTGCTCCATGCCCAGAATAACCATCCTCGATATATGGAAGCGGCTGCATGTACGGTAATAGCTCGCTTAAGAGTAAAACACTGACACATCCACCTTCAAACTCAAAACAACCCATCTACACTTGAAACCAAATAACAAGCTAAGGCTCGTCTATACTTGTCTCATACTGTCTGACTGTAGGGTTCAAATCAAGAGGCAGCTATTGCAGCATTGAGCAGAGCATTGTTGGCATCCTCACCCCATACACTGAAGTACCACCCTCCATAGCCTTGCGCCTTGGCAAACTGAACCTTGGTGGTGATGGTGGAAGGGTCGTCGTAACAAACCCAATGGTCACCCTTCACTGCATACATAGAGGATGTTGGGGCGTCGAGCGTAGCTGTGTAACCTCCTGTGGTTACCAGCTGATCGATTTTCTTGTAAGAGAGGGTAAAAACCTTTTTGTTGGTGGGGTGGAGGGGGAATATGCAGGACAAGGGAGAGAGTGATGAGAGGTTGGTTGAAGCTACTTGCAAAGGCGCCATAAGAAAGGTATAAGTGACACTCCAAAAGTGTGCTAGGAAGGAAAAAAAAAACACAAGAGGCTGTGAATATGTGTGTGAGAGAGAGAGAAGCATAAAGCAGAGTAGAAAATGAGAGAAGAGAAAAAATAAAGAAGAGAGCTAACCTGACGATTCCCGTAGGTCGGAGCTCCAACCCCAGTGCTGTTTGTCGAGGCAAGCCTCCAGGCCCAGCCGTACATCGCCAAGCCTACCATGGCCTTGCTTGGGGCCAAGCCTTGGGACACCCATGCAGCCATGGCGCCCTTGATGCTCAGGTGAGGGTTGCTCACGTCCTCCAGTGCTGTGTGCATGCGGGTCGTGGGGGTCTCCGAATCCACAATTAAATCGTAAGTCTTAACATTAACAAAGTCCAGTGTTTTGTTAAGTGTCGGGACATCGTAGGGCTGAGTGATATTTGGCTCGTATGCAGAGAGCAACGCAGAAAGCAGAAGCTTCGCTTTCCCGGAAGCGGCAGCTTCGGATTCGATCGCCGCCCGGAAATCCGTGACCAGGGCGGAAAAGAAGGTGGTGTTGCCCCTTAAGTACTCATAGACGATATCCAGACCGTCAAAGTTGTACGTGCGGGCGAGGGCGATCGCGGATTGGATGAAGACAGAGCGGGAGGACGGAGAGGAGGTGGTGTTTTCGATATCGGTGAAGTATCCGTAATAGCTGCCGATGGAAAGGAGAGTTTTAATGGCGGGATTGGCGGTCTTTAGAGCAGAGTTGAAGCGCAGATAGAGGCCCTCGTTGACGTCAATTGCTGGGATGTAGGGGACGACCTGTTGAGAGGTGAAGGGAGACAAGGTAAGGGGTCAGGGGTGAAAAGGGGTGAACAGGGGTGGCGGCATTGAAGGCAAAGACCCTGGGTGACGTCCACTGCTGGGTAGGAAAAGCGAAGCATCCAAAAATCCACTACCGCGACTGTGAAAAAGAAGAGTTATATGGAGCAGATGACCCGATAGAGCATGGCATACGCACTCACACCTCCTGTGCGTTGTGAGTGGTGGCCTACCTTGTGTGTGGTGGGGTCGATGGAAGCACAGGAGTAGAAGACATGCGTGAGGTTGGCAGCAGGGATGAGGGATGGGTCCATGCCCCTGAAGTTGAGGAAATACGCCATGCGCTTCAGCCCAGTAGACGGAGGAGGGGAGGCGGTTGGGGGGGAAGCGGAGCCGGTTGGGGGGGGTGCGGGGCTGGTTGGGAGGGGAGCGGAGCCAGTTGGGGGGGGAGCGGAGCCAGTTGGGGGGGGAACGGAGCTGGTTGGGGGGGGAGTGGAGTCGGTTGGGGGGGGAGCGGAGCCGGTTGGGGGGGGAGCGGAGCCGGTTGGGGGCGGAGGTGAGGCGGACGGGACCGGCGGAGAAGCGGAAGGAGGAGAAGGGGAGGGGGATGGCGGAGGAGGAGAGGGGGAAGGGGATGTGGTGGGAGGCGGAGTGGGCGAGGAGGCGGAACCGGAGCACTGGGACTGGCAGCCTGCGCCGCAGTGATCGGCGGTGGAGCCACACCAGCCCCACTTGCTGCAGCAGAGGTTGTTGGCGCACGGCGCGGAGGCGGAGCACGTATCCTCTGCGCGCGCGCGGAGGGGGAGGTGCGCCGACGAGAGCAGCACCAGCGCGAGCAGGAGGAGGAGGAGGGGAGACCGCGGCAGCGAAGGTACTATAATCGCCATGATCGGCCGGGTTGAGCCGACTTGCAAGGCTGCTGATGATCAGGGTGAGGGGAGTGACCGTGGGCGACGGCTTATGAGGCGCAGAACGGATGGATGAGATTCGCCTCTGAGAATCACGAGTGGCTAGATCAGAATGGCGTCGGAAACGCGGTGCTGGTCGGTGAAGATCGGCGGGGAGAGAGGTGAGGCTGCTGCTGGGATGGTTGAGTTGAAATGCGGAGACTGGTTTGAGTGATGGCGTCTGGTGAGAAGTGACGGGGCATGGATCTGCTATATAGTATGACAGGGACGGGTGAAGCGCAGTCGCCGTGAGTGGTGGTTTCATCGTAGAAACACCCATGGCGGTGCGACTCGAAGCGTGGCGGTTACGTAACAATAATCGCTGCAACGGAATAACGCTTCCGTCACGGACGCGCGGCCGCCCTTACTCAGACTGACGCCTGGGCTGGACGATTATTACTCGGAGTGGCCTAAGGAAATACGAGCTACAACAGGCGTCTGACACAAGAATAATGGTGGTATGTGCACAACCCTGGGAGTTCCAAACCACGCACAGCCCAATGCCGTCCCGTGAAAGCTACGGAATGGGGTCAGGTGGGGGAGAGGAAGAGCGTCGGCCAACTCGAATTTGATGAGTCGAGACGAGAACATCGGAGGAGGACTTGGGATTTCATTTCTATTCAGTAAGAACGGTTCTGAACGATACCGAGGAGTTGAGGGTGCTGCCCATGAGAAGGTGAATTATTGGGTGTGTCTTGCGACTTCATTCAATTCTGTTTGGTGATATCGGTTGAGAACGTTTCTGAGGAAATATGAACAGTCATTCTAATTTGCTAAGTATACCTATATGTTCTTTAGGCGTTAGTCTCAATAAGTAGATATAGAATGGCAGAGGATATGACTTAGTTCTTTTGAGCACATGGGTGTTAAATAATGCTGTTCTACTGGCTCCCATCAGAGAGGATGGTTATTTGTTAGTGAGCCGCTTTATAGTCTCATGAAAATTTCTCTCCCTGTAGCTCAAGGTCTGGGTCGCTCTCTCCTAGAGCCCTGACGCTAGTGATGCCATAATGGAAGGGCAGGGCGAAACGTAGGGAAGGAGGGACAGAAGGGAACACAGGGAGCGGAAGGAAAGTAAGACATACAAGGCAGGGTGACACGTGGGGAGAGTGGCAGGATAGGAAGGAAGTAGGCAGAGAGACACATGCGGAGTGGGGGAAAAGGAGAGGGGCTCGTGGGCACATGGGTAGAGGCACGTGGGCACATGGGGAGAGGCACGTGGGCACATGGGGTCACTGCCGCCCAGTGGGGTGGGCTCTGGCCTTCACACGCACGTCCTCCCAGCGTGCTTCGTAGTCGAAGAGTGGAGTGGAACTCCGGCAGCGCAAGGGCTCTGGCTCTCACGCGCTGGTTTTTGAGAGTTCTCAAAAACCAGGGGGCTCTGTCTCTCATGCGCACGTCCTCTCAAAGGAACCTGTCTGCACGTGGGTGGGTGCCTCCCGCTTACACTGTGACGCTGGCCCGCTGCAGCACAGTGGGCCCTGATTCACTGAGAGAGGTGTGCACTGATTCTTGAGGCTCCTATAATTCGTTTCTAAGATTAATCTGCCCCCTTGGGATTGTGTGCAGGCCATGTGTAATGACAGCACGGGGGAGGAGGGAGAGAGCAACGCTCTTGTGGCCATCAAACAACCGCCAACCTTCCAGGTACACGTGGCTCGCCACAAGTGAGTGTTGACACGTCTCAAACGTAAAGCTGCCAGTAAGTAAGCCCTCCACCATGCAAGACATTTCTGAGTCGACTTATCCTTTCTCCATTTCCTTCTCCTTACGCTCTTGTATCTCGTCTCTCGTCTCTCTCCCGTTCTATGTTGCCACTGCAGAGAGGCGTGCTAGAAGAGACAAGGGATGCCGCCCAGGTGCTGCAGGTGGTGCTGTCGGGGCAGCGCATTGAGGAGATCTCGTCAGCGCTGACGAGGCGACAGCTGTCGGAAGACAAGTGGTGGACAGCTGTCAGCTGCGTGGTGCAGGAGGGGAAGCAGGCGTGAGGAGGGGGGGGTGAGGAAGAGGGGGGGGGGGGGGGGGGGGGGGTGTTTGGGGGGAGGGGAAGCAGGCGTAGATGAGTGGGTCAATGCGAGTGGATTTGAGGATGAGCTTCAATCTTGCATTGTGTGGGAAAGTGGTGAATGGCTGGCAGCCGCATGGTACAGGGTGAGTGTGTGGGGGTGTGGGAGTGCATGAGGGAGGGCATGAGGGAGTGCATGAGGGAGTGCATGGGGGAGTGCATGAGGGAGTGCATGTGGGAGTGCATGAGGGAGTGCATGTGGGAGTGCATGTGGGAGTGCATGAGGGAGTGCATGAGGGAGTGAAAGAAGCTGGCTTTTTAGACGTCTCAGAATCAACTTCTTTCAGTGCAGGGGAGTGTGGGGTGCATAGATTCATGGGTGCATAGATGCATGGGTGCATAGATGCATCGGTGCATGGATGCATGGGTGCAAGGATGCATGGGTGCATGGATGCATGGGTGCATGGATGCATGGGTGCATGGGTGCATGGGTGCATGGGTGCATGGGTGCATGGGTGCATGGGTGCATGGGTGCATGGGTGCATGGATGCATGGGTGCATGGATGCATGGGTGCATGGATGCATGGGTGCATGGATGCATGGGTGCATGGATGCATGGGTGCATGGATGCATGGGTGCATGGGTGCATGGGTGCATGGGTGCATGGGTGCATAGATGCATGGGTGCATGGGTGCATAGATGCATGGGTGCATGGGTGCATGGGTGCATAGATGCATGGGTGCATGGGTGCATGGATGCATGGGTGCATGGGTGAGCTTCCTAATGCGGATGTGCATGGTTGCCTAGGGGCGCTACACGGGAGGAGGTTCGACTGCAGCAAGCAAATCAGATTATTTTGATTGGTGAAGCAGTTACCAAGTGGTGCCATGTCATGGCGAAGCAGGTGCAGGTGAAGCTACAGGCAACCAGCAGCCTGTTAGAGTAGGCTGAGTATCGAGGAAGTTTGGGTACAAGGATGAGAACCCTAAGGGGTTGTACCCTACATTGGCTACCCCACGACAGCCTAAACAGAAATAACATGCATATAATTGACACACCCCCATAGGCAAAGCGCACAAGACCAGTCAAGAGAAGCAAAGCAAGCTCAGGGTGGATCACAATGTCACCACACACACTGAGCACAAGCAAAGGGGGCCACAAGGCCAGTTCACATGCAGAGGTATATATGCAACAACAATAGCACTGTGATCTCTACCTAGCAGAGCAAGCATGCAGGTATATATATATTTATCACAGTACAGACAAAGTCTACAGCAAGTGAGGAAACGTGGGCACAAGGCCTAACAGAGTACAAAAACGCTGATGATCACCAGACGGAAGTGCCTTGGTGAATATATCAGCAGTGTTGGCCCGAGAGGCCACGTGAGCAAGACGAAGCTGACCACGCTGCTGCAACTCTCGAGCCAAGAAGTAACGCAGAGCGATGTGCTTCGTTCTGTGCTCCAGTCTGTGCTCCTGACACAAGGCAATGGCGGCCTTGTTGTCGACGTACAGCACTGGAGGAGAACGAGGCCGCTCTCCCAAGTCGGTCAGCAGGTAGGTGAGCCAGCGTAACTCTTGTGCAGCCATGGCTGTGGCGTAGATCTCAGCCTCACAACTGGAGCTGAGAACTGAAGACGAGCGTGTAGAACGCCAAGAAACTGAACCAGAGCCAAGGCTGAAGGTGTAACCCTGTGACGACCACTGCGTAGCCTGGTCGTCAACCCAAGAAGCGTCCGAGTGACCAGTGAGGACAACGTCGCCCCGTCCTCCAAGCACGAGCCCCATGCCCCATGTACTGCACAAGTAGCACAGTACCCTCTTAGCAGCATCCATGTGCACCTTTCGGTGCTGACCAGGAGCCACGTAGCGAGCCAAAAGGCCAAGAGGGTACGCAAGGTCAGGACGAGTGCAGGTCATCAGGTACATGAGGCAGCCCACTAGCTCTGGGTAAGGACCACTCGGCCCTACGGACTCGTCCGAAGGTGGAGCTGAGAGCGAGTGACCCGTAGCCAGAGGAGTGGCCTGTGCCGAGGACCAGGTGAAGTTGAAGCGCTGAAGGACCTGCTGCACCATGTGTGAGTGAGTCAGTGTGATGGTGCGGCGTGCTCTGTCCCGAGTGATCTGCAAGCCAAGGTAGCTGCGCAGCTCACCCAGGTCTGTGCACGTGTGTCTCTTCTGCAGCTCCGACTTCACCAGGGCGAGAGCCTCAGTGTCAGCAATGGCAAAGATCAAGTCGTCAACGTACACGAGGATGTAGAACGGCGGCAGCGAAGTGTCGGTGCGCAAAAACAGCGACGGGTCAGCAGTCGACGGAGCAAACCCAAGAGCCGCATGTGTCGTCCTCAGTGTGTCGTGCCACTCACGCGGCGCCTGGCGGAGACCGTAGACTGGCCGCCGGAGGCTCCACTGGGTACCAGGAGGGAACGACCTAGTGAAGCCAGGTCGGCGGCGCAGCCAGATCTCCTCGTGCAGGCTGCCCTGTAAGAAGGCTGTGCTGAAGTCAAGAGAGTGAAGCTCGTAGTCACGCTGAGCGGCAACGTGCAGCAGCACCCGAAGAGTAGTCATCTTCGGGGTGGGGGAGAAGGTCTGGAAGAAGTCGATTCCCTCCCTCTGACTGAAGCCTCAAGCAACGTAGCGCGCATTGAAGACAGGCGGAGAACCTGGCGGCCGCTTCACCCTGAAAATCCACATGCCACTGACGATGTTCGCCCCAGGAGGGGGAACCTCGTCGACGTATGTGCCTGTGGACTTCCAGGATGCCATCTCTGCGTCCATGGCTGTCTGCCACTGAGAGGAGTACTCACCCGCGATCGCCTCAGCGTAAGAGCGCGGGGTCGGGATGTCTGGAGCATCCGGGTCTCCCTCAGGGGCAAGCAGCATGGACATGAGATGAGGCGCAGCGGCTGCAAGACACTCAAGGTCCTCCTGCCTGTCCTCAAGGACGTCCGTGCTAAGAGCACACTCACCCCCGACGGACGGAGGACAGACAGACTCAGACTCAGCAACAAGACTAGCGGCGTAGTCTAGACGACAGGCAGCAGCAAAGTCAACAAGCTTAGCGACTAAGGCAGACGCAACAGCAGACTCAAACGACGGGTCAGTGACAACTGTGGCTAGCAGACGCAGTAGGGTGAGCAGCACGGGTGCGGTCAGACTCAGGCTCAGGAACGGTAGGCAGAGAAGACGCAGGAGGGGACGGCAGGGGAACACGCTGCGAGGAGAGGAAGGACGACGGACGACTAGGTGGGTGCCGGAGACAGCCGGCTGACGCGAACGAGGGACACGACGACCGGAACGACCATAACGGACAGGCGAGACAGGACGCGAGGCAGGCTCACGATGCTCAGTAAGACCCCCTGTCAGATCAGTGTAAGGAGAAGGAGCAGGCAGTGGTGAGCCAGGCTGTAAAGGAAGACCAGTAGACGAAGGGAGACTAAGAACCTGGCGAAGCACAGAGTCAGGCGGTGGCTGGGACGACGGAGACGGAGGAGCAAAGAACAGGCGCGGCTGTGGAGTGCCACCAGCACCAGCAGCTCCAGTACCCCCAGCAGCTCCAGCACCTCCAGCAGCTCCAGAACCCTCAGCGCCAGCTCCTCCAGGACCAGCTCCACCAGCAACAGCACCCCCAGAACCGGCACCTCCAGTCCCAGGGTCTCCAGCCTCAGTGTCTCCAGCAGCAGCACCCCCAGACCCAGTGTCTCCAGCAGCAGCACCCTCAGGCTCAGCACCTCCAGCCCCAGCAGCTCTAGTACCCCCAGTACGAGCACCTCCGGGACCAGGACCACTCCCAGCTCCAGTGACGTCAGCAGAAGTACCTCCAGTGGCAGAGCCCCGAGCTCCAAAAGCGCGACCCTGATGGCGACCGTACCAGTCGTGCAGCTGCTGTGAGGTGAGAGGCACACGCGGACGAAGGCGGCTACTCCAAGGAGACCGCGCAACAGCAGACTCAGAACCCTCAGCGCCAGCACCCTCAGCAGCTCCAGAACCTCCAGCTCCAGCGCCACCAGCGCCAGCACCTCCAGCAGCTCCAGAACCTCCAGCGCCAGCACCCTCAGCAGCTCCAGAACCTCCAGCAGAAACAACTCCAGTAGCAGAGTCACCAGCTCCAGCGCCTCCCGCAGCAGGGCCCCTAGCTCCAGCAGCGCGACCCTGACGGCCAACGTACCACTCACGCAGCTGCTGTGGGGAGAGAGGAAGTCGACGAGGAGAGTGGAGCGGCGAGGCACCAGCGGAGCGACTACGGAGACGGCCGCTCCAAGGAGACTGCTCACCAGACGCCTCAGCGCCCGCAGGTGCAGCACCCCCAGACTCCTCACACTCAGGCTCAGCACCTCCAGGCTCCGCACCCTCAGGCTCCGCACCCCCAGGCTCAGCACCCGCAGGCTCCGCACCCCCAGGCTCAGCACCCCCAGGCTCAGCACCCCCGGAAGCAGCACCCCGAGCAGGACCACTCTCAGCAGGACCTGGGTCACCAGTGACTTCAACCGGCGCAGTCAAGGGAGGAGGGTCTACCTGAGGCACACCTGAAGGAGCAGGACCAGGAGCGGGGAGGGGGTCTACCTGGGGAGCACCTGGAGCGAGGAAGAGCGGCGGGGGGGGGAGAGGGGCAGTGCGGTAGGGGGAGAGACGGTAAAAGGGAACCGACTCGTCGAACGTGACGTCCTGAGAGTGGAAGACACGGGGCGAGGTGGGGTTGTAAAACTGCCAACCAGGCGCAGGGACAAAGCCAAGGAAGACATTGGGAACAGCGCGGGCGGAGAGCTTGTCCGCGGTGGTATCGCGGACAAAGGCACGAGCACCCCAGACCCGGAAACGCGACGCATCGCCAACCTTCCCCGTCCACAGCAGTGTGGGCGATATCTCCTCGTTCCCAAACCAGTCAGCACCACCAATTCAACACTAAACATGTTTAAATGCCCTATTTTCCCGTTTCTGCCCTTTTTCTGCCTTTCTCTGTCCTCCTCTACCCTTCACACCCCGTGCCATGTGCCTTCCAGGCCTGGCCCTCATGGCGAAGCAGGTGCAGGCGAAGCTCGAGGCGGACGGCAGTCTGCGGGACTCCGCCAGCTCAGCAGGGGCGATAGCGGGCGGCAGGTGGGCGCAGCTCGCGGCAACGGGGGAGGAGATGGTGGGCGGCAGAGTGGTGTGAGTCGAGTCGGAAAAGCTGACAGAGCGCCACGAGTGGCGCCTGTTGCGCACTCGTCACCTCTTTTCTCTATATTTACATAAATTTGGACAGTTAAAACACGAGCTTTTGAAAACCCATGTCCCCCACCAACTCTCAATCAGATTGTCTACACATCAAACAGGTATTGTTCTCTCGTACCGTATTGTCTACCTGTAGTTCATCTCATCCCTCAGAAGTTCGAACCGAAAGCCTACTACTCGGCGTCGAGAGTTGAGTGCCTGGAAAAGTACGGCATGGAAATCGCAGGAAGCTTCACGTAAAATAGAATCATAACAGACATCTGTCAGGCAGAAGTCTAGAGCATAGATGCTCTCTGCACCACAGAAAATGGTAGGCACCTTTATCTGATACGGTAGGCAACCCTGCCAGCTGCAGGTTTGCTTGAAGAATTTACTGCAGGAAGGTAAAAGTCCAATCTGCAGGACTGTTCAGGTCGTACGGTAGGTTCAATGGGCTGGTTCTAAAACACAGTTTTTTAAAACCAGCACTCCATTAAAGCATTGGCACATACACCTCCAACGCCAAGATAATAACAAGCATAAAACTTCTCATACTGTCCTACGACTGTAGGGTTCAAATCAAACAGCTGCGGCGGCATTGAGCAGAGCATTGTTGGCATCCTGGCTCACTTCCCACAGGAACCACCCTCCATAGCCTTGCGTCTTGGCGAACTGAACCTTCTTGGTGATGGTGGAAGGGTCGTCGTAACCAACCCACTGGTCACCCTTCACCGCATACATGCATGAGGATGGGGTGTGGTAATAAGCTTTGTAACCTCCAGTGGTTACCAGCTGATTGATTTCCTTGTAAAAGAGAGTACCGGCTTCCTGTTGGTGGGGTGGAGAGGGAAAATGCAGGCCAAGGGAAAGGACGATAAGAGAGTTTGCTGGAAGCTGCTTACTTGCTCAAAAAAATAAAAAGAGGAATAAGTTACAATCTGAAAGTGCTGAGGAAGGAAGGTAACGAGAAGAACAGAACAAATGCAGAAGGATGGCAAACAGGGAGGGGAGAGAGAATGGGAGAATGAGAGAATGGCAAAAGGGAGAGAAGCACAAAGCAGAGTAGAAACAGGGAGGGGAGGGCCAACCTGACTGATAGACCCTTTCTGACCAGCACCAAAGGCCGCGGCTCCAACCCCAGTGCTGCTTGTCGAGGTTAAGGTCCAAGTTTTGCCGTAACCCGCCAAGCCTACCATGGCCTTGCTTCGGGCCAAGCCTCGAGTCACCCAGGCGTCCATGGAGCCCCTGACGCTCAGCTTCGAGCTGCTATCCTCCAGAGCAGTGTGCATGCCGGTCGTTTTCTCCCACGAAGGCCCGTGGAAATCGTACGTCATGATATTGACAAAGTCCAGCGTTTTGTTAAGCGTCGGGACGTTGTAGCATTCAGCGATTCTCTTCTCGTCGGGAGCGACCGCCGCCGTGAGCAGCAGCTTGGGTTTTTTAAAGGAAGCGGCTTCGGAATCGATCGCCGCCCGGAATTCCGTGAGCAGCGCGGAGAACGAGGCGGCCTTGCCACTCGGGTACTCCCAGTCGAGATCCAAACCGTCGAAATTGTGCGCGCGGGCGAGGACGATCGCGGATTGGATGAAGGCAGAGCGGGTGGCGGTGGAGGAGGCGGCGTTGCCGAAAACGGTGGTGCCGGCAGCGGCGCCGCCGATGGAGAGCAGCGTCTTGATGGCGGGGTTGGCTCTCTTTAGATCCGCGTTGAAGAGCTTATACAAACCCCCGTCGACTTCCACTGCTGCGTTGGACGAGACGACCTGCGATGGGAGAGAGAGAGAGAGAGAGAGAGAGAGAGAGAGAGAGAGAGAGAGAGAGAGAGAGAGAGAGAGAGAGAGAGAGAGGAGGGACGGAATGTTGGGTAGGGAAAGGGCTGAGGCTGCACGGGGAAGGGAATGGGCGAAATGAAACGCGGGATTGATGGAGGGCGAGAAATACGGCATGAATCTGGGATGGCAGGGGGAATGGAAGAGGGATGTCAGAGCACTTGCAGCTGATGGCGCGGACGTGTGCATGGCAAGATAGTGCGGCGCAGTGCGGTACCTACCTTGTAAGTGGTGGGGTTGATGGAAGCAAAGGCGTAGAAGACATGGGTCAGCTTGGCGGCAGGAATGGCGGCCCTGTTCCCCCAGCTGCCGAAATACGCCATGCGCTTCAGCCCAGTAGAGGGGGTTGGGGAGCCGCTTGCGGGCGGAGGGGGACCGGTTGAGGGCGGCGGGGAGCACTGGGAGAGGCATTTAGCGTTGCAGTAATCGGGGGTAGAGCCGCAATAGCCCCACTCGCTGCAGCAGAGCTTGTTGGCGCAAAGCACCGTGGCGGAGCACGCCTTCTGCGCGCGCGCGCGCAGGGGGAGGTGCGCGAACGAGAGCAGCAGCAGCAGCGCCGCGAGCAGGAGGATTCCGAATCCTCCGCGGAGGAGGAAGAGCGGGGGACGCGACGACGCCGGCAGGGGTAGTGTGATCGCCATGGCTGCCAGAGAGCGAGCGGGTTAGACTCAGGCTGGGTGTGTGGAATGGAAAAGACTCCCACACAAGGCTGAAGCTCAGGTGAGTAATCGCGCTGAGGTGAGTAATGGGGGAGTTACTAGCGGACGCGGAGCGAAAGGAGAGGATGAGTTGGAATGGAGAGGCCGCTGCGATATATAGGTCTGAAGAGCGATGCGCAGGACTGCCACGGGGCGGGGGACTGGCGGGGTCGACGGGAGACCTGGGAACGCGCCGCGGGGGATGGCCCGCGCGGGGAGTAGTAAGCATGGGGAAGGAGCTTCGCCATGGTCCGAACCTCGCTGCGTGAAAAATAAATGCACGAGGGCAGCTGCTACGCTGCTACTACGGCACCTGCGCGACAGACGCGCAGGCGCTACTACTTGCTGCGAGTGTTGCGACGTCTCAGAAGCGCCTTCATATTGAACGCGGTTACCAGGCACCTGCGCGACCTACGCAGCTAGTAGCAACGGCATCTGCGCGCGCGGGACGCCGCAGCTTCTACTAGTAGCTGGGGCACCTGCGCGCCTGACGCAGCTCAGCTGCTTAGCAAACAATAATTGCGTGTAGAGAGGGTATATTTGAGACGTCTCAAAAATACCCTCTCTACACCTGGGGCACCTGCGCGCCTGACGCAGCTCAGCTCAGCTGCATAGCAAACAATAATTGCAAGCGGGGAAGGCTGAAAACGCTCAGCTGCTGCGGGTACGACGACACCTGCCCGTAGCGCATGTGGGAGGGGTGATGACGTCGCGGGGAAGGCGGCGGCTACATAACGAACGATTATTGTTGCGCGGAAGGCTGGAAACGCGCTTCCCCTCGTGCGTCGCTCTTCCTCAAGGAGACGTCTACACTGCTACTACTCGGACTGGTATTCCTTCAGCAGACGTCTGCACGGTTATTACTCGGACTGGAGTCTAGAGAGTCGGCTACATCTGCTTGCCATGTGGGTCCGACTTTATCCATGTCGAGGTTCATGAAGCTACGCACAGCGCAAGTGCCACAGTCCGTTGTGCTTTGGGAAAGTCGAGTAAGGGCGTGTAAAATCGCCGCACCTAAAAATTCGGCCACTAGCCAAGTGGCCGAATTGGCGAAAGTAACCCGTTTGAGAAAACTTCGAAGACGCTCGCGACCGTCGTTAATATCGCCAATAAAAAACGAAATTGATGGCCGTTTTGAAAGTCGACTCGTATCCGACACCATGTCGGCTCCAATTCGGCCAAGCAGTTGATTACTGCGCTGCACATCTCGAAGCTCTCCGCCATGGCTTGCGATTCCACCTATCAGGAACATTCCAGCTTAACAATGTCCACCTTAACACTGTCAGTTTCAGGAGCTGATTACCTTTTTGGGTGGCAAATGTGCACCGTCGCTTTAAGATAGCAACGCGACATCTAAGAAGGCATCGAAAATATACAGCGGGTGCATTTCAAGGCTTCAAGTACAGATACAAGGAAGTTACTCGACGGAATGTTTTCAGATTAACAGCCTTTGCAGCACTTCAACGGCTCTCAAGGCAGCATCACACGCTTTTTGAAAGCAAAGCATCTCACTGTCTTTCGGCAATGGAATCTACGCCAGAGGAGTACCAAGATTTACCTATTTTAACCATAGCTCCTGAAGTCTTCGAAGTTGAAGATTTTTTAAAAACCACGATGCTGGACGACGGGAATGAAAAGCAACCAGTTTTGGGAGTTCTTCAGGGTGTTCTACCTACAAACTCAAATGATACAGGCGAGAAGGTTCAAGATTTCTTTCTGCTACTGGAAGACGTCACGTCGGTTGATACGAGGCTAATTTCTAATGATTTTCAAGTTTCGGGAAGCCTTTCCCATGGCAACCTGGGTGATTTGCTCAGAGGAGAAGTACTCATGACTGTTGAAGCAGAAGCGGCAGCAGCCTTCTTCACAGCGAGGCGTCAGAAACCACACAGAAGACTTCATACAAGGTCTCCAAGGCTAGCTTACCAGAGGAAAACTGCTGTTATTACCACTCACCGATTCCATGGCAAAACAGCGGCTGCTGTAACTACACTCAACAACCCTCAGCAAGACAAGTTCAGATGGAACCACCTTCAGTTGCAGCAAATCAGCAGAACAAGGAAGATTTTAAATAGGCGAGATAAGTGTTTTAGGTACTTGGTTTATAAACCCCCATAGAGAATTGCGAGGGCACGGTACATTGTGCCTAAGCCCTATGTAAGGAATTTCGCTAATTCCTTACTGAGGCATCTCTTACGCGTACAATTCCAACTTTCGGAATTCAGGCTCGGTCCGACGACCTCGCCTTCCGAACATCTCCCGTGTCGCCCTCGGGTTTCCCAACCCCAAACCTGCACCCAACCTTCGCGCGACTCCGCGACCTCGGCCTAGCTAGCTGTGCTATATTATACCTAGGCCTCGTTGTTTGCTCAGTAGTTGTAATCACTTCCGCGATATTGCATTCTGCGCACTCTTCTTTCATACAACTCATAACACTTGGTATCAGAGCTACTTTCCTAGGTTACCCTCCACTTTCCGGGGTAGTTTTAGTGCAGGGGTGCGATAGGTTTGGTGGGCTGCAAAGCGGTCGGCTGAGAGAGAGATACGATTATCTCGCTCCGACTAATAGCGTTTGCGCCTTCATCAAAACCATAAAAATCGCTGTTAACCCGCTGCCCGCTAGGATGAGTCTCCGAAACATGACACAAGCAGAGTTTGACGTGTTTTTGCAGGACTTTCGGGCGATGCAATCCAACATGCAGACTATGTCTGGCGAGTTGGAGCGCCTGAGGGTGGAAAACGCCGAGCTACGCCAGACGCGAGGTGAAGCGCGTCAGGGGTCGGCCGCCGTGGATGAAGCAAGTAGCAGCTTCGCGCCTAACGACGAGGTCCTTAGCGAGCTACAAGACTCGCTGGACGCTGAAGATGAGTGGACGGCACGGATGCAACAAGCACAAGGGACGCAGGGGCAACAGTCACAGCCGCAGCAACAGACACGAGCGGCGCCGAGGCAACAGTCGCAGACTACACCACGTCAGGCAACAGCGACAACCCCGGTGATGGCCTCAGTGGCGCCCCCGATGCATGCAGCAGCAACAGTCTCAACAACTGTTAAAATAAAACCGACGAACCCACCCCCGTTCAACCCCAGCGACAAAACCGTCACTGTGTCGGCATGGTTGTTCGGAGTGGAGGTGTTTTTCAATGCTGCGCAAATTGCTGACGATGCTACCCGCATTAATTTTGCAGTGTCACTGTTACGAGGGCCGGCGTTGGAGTGGTGGAAGTGGGGGGACTCCGGCAGGGATGTCACGTGCGAACGACGGGACCTGGACAACTGTCACGCAACAGGCAACTTCAATCTTCGGAGTGGCCACGATACGCACATGGACGGAGTGGGGCGCCGCGCTGCGAACCAGATTCGAGCATGTATCCGCCTCGGATTCTGCTCGCATGAAGCTGCGCACCTGGAAGCAGGTGGCGTCGGTCCAAGATTACACGGCAACATTCTGCAATTTGGCTGACCAAGTGGACGATATGAGCGACGCGGAACGACTCGACCGATATGTCGCAGGCCTCAAGTACGAAGTACAGTACGAGGTGCGACGGGCGAGGCCACGCGGTTTTCTCGATGCCGTCCAGGTGGCTGAATCAACGGATGCGCTGATGCAATGGGCGAGAATGAGTTCCCGGGAGGGCACTCAATTTCGTGGACCGCCGCGCCAGCCCACAATCAACGGGGTGGATGCACCGAGACGTGGACCTAACACGTGCTTCAACTGCAACCAACCGGGCCACTGGAGGAAGGACTGCCCGAAGCTGAAACAGGGAAACAGGAATGACGGAGAGGGGTCGGGAAAAGAGACGAGTCAGTAGCAGTCGGGCCACCTTCTGACGAGACCCCGTCGCCCGGCAATCAACATCCACACCGAGTGGTGGTACCGATACGGGCTATCGACCGCAACCGGACGAATAAGGTGGATGAACACGTGGATCACCCTGTGCTGGTCGTGGGGAGGGTTAACGGCTATAAAATAAAATTATTCGTTGACGGTGGGGCGAGCCACAGTCTCGTCAACCTGGCAACGGCCAAAAAAATAGGGGTCAAACTGGACAGGTGTCTGCCCGAGATTGACGCGCGACTGGTGGACGGGACACCGCTGGCGATAAAAGACGAGGTCCGACAAATTCGGATGAAGTGTGGCGACGATTTCGGGTTTTCAATGCGAATGCTGGCGACAACACTGGACGGTTGCGATGTGCTGCTGGGACGAGATTGGCTACAGCGTTTCAATCCGACGATCGACTGGACGACGGGGGCGATCACGGTGCTGTGCAACAAGGGCCGCGTGACACTTCCGAAATGGGCGGAGCCGGAGCCGATGACAACACGTGTCAACGCAATAACGATGAAGAGGGCGATAAAACGGGGAGCGCAAGGCTACGCCGTACAGCTGTACGAGGTGGGGGCTTCCAAAAAAATCGCCGACATCGACACGCCCTGCGCTGCTGTACCCAACGACGTGGCGAGCATAATTCGGAGGTATCCCGAAATCTTCGCGGATGACCTGCCTGACGAGCTGCCACCTCAGCGTCCGGAGGACCACAGGATCGAGCTGGAGCCAGGCGCAAAACCAACTGTTCGGTCACAGTGGCGGCTCAGCCAACCGGAGCTCGACGAGTTGCGGAAACAGCTGGATTATCTGCTTTCGAAGGGTTTTATCCGGCCGAGCACGTCACCATACGCCGCCCCAATACTGTTCACACCGAAAAAGGACGGAGGCCTGCGCATGTGCATCGACTATCGAGCGTTGAACCGGGTCACGATCAAGTCACGTTACCCGATCCCACGAGCGGACGACCTGCTGGATCAGCTTCGCGGGGCTCGCTTCTTCTCGAAAATCGATTTGCGAGGTGGCTACCACCAAATTCGCGTGTTTGCCGACGACTGCCTGAATACTGCGTTTCGCACCCGCTACGGCAGTTACGAGTACACTGTGATG